ACAGCAATTTCTGCAACCTGGTTATTTTGGCACTTTCTGCCTACACTCAGTCCTACAACAGTAGTTATGAAGGTTCCTTCGGCAAGCAGAAGTTGCCCCTTCAAAGACGTTACTAGAAGACAAGAAACGCTGTAAACACACTACAATCTCCTTTAAAGGGCAAAAAAGGCTGCCCTGATCTGACACCAGAAAGGTGAGCTGATGGGGTACCATCTCATCGCAGCTGGAATAAAATTACATTAGGAAGGACTTGGGTAGGATCAGAAGCTGTTATCATGGTAGCCCCTGACTGGACAGCAGACTCTTCAGTCTATTATACTACATTATCATGTATGATGAGGCAAAGAGCTTCCGCCACTTCTTTGAAAATATCCTGGCTGAGACTCTAAGGGACAAAAGAGACGCAACCATTAAGAACATCTTCTTTGGATGCTCTTCATTCGTGTCAGGAAGCCACCCCCATTTGGTCCGCTGCCAGATGGTGGCAAAAACACTGGTCCTAGCCACTTTTTGCTGCTGGAAGCAGAGTCTTACCTGGTAGTCCACGAGGAGTTCCGGCCCTTTGAAGTACCTCGAGGCCACACGGACGTTGTATTCCTGAGCTGGATGGTAGAATTCTGCCAAGCCCCAGTCTATGAGCCGCAACTACGAATACAGCACACAAGGCGGTCAGTCGGTCTGCCACACACTTCGGTGAAATGCACAGCACTTACGCAACCTCATGGCAGGTTGCTGCTTGGCTGCCTACGTCTGCTGTACCTTGTAAATGCTGGTCAGATCACCTGCTGCCCATCTGGCTCATCTGCTAACTAAAAGGCATCCGTTTAAAAAAGGTTCACTGAATGCTGTGAAAGAGGATTGTGTGCAGAAGCACAACAAAAAATGGAAGGCAACAGTCCTTAGGCTGAAATACAGGGTTAGCAGCAAGGACAACATCCCAACTCTCTGCAGAGCATACAAGTGCTGCCTCAAGACACAGGCTGGGCTCCTTGCCTCAGTCACATGGAAATTCCTAGCAACGGCCTTTAATGCACAGAGGGCTCTTTACCCAGCTGGCAACACACCAGCCAAGTGGGCTGCAGTTCACCGAATACCAGAGGTTCTCAACAGCTCTTTCTGTGTAAAGATATTAGACAAAGAATGGAAAGTAGAGAACCTTTTCCCCTCAAGGAAGCTTTAAAAAACAACAGTGTTTTCTACTCCAAGCAACATTCTTGGACAGCAACAGCTTTAAAGCAAGGGGAGTGAAATCAGGTTGTAATGTGTGCCTGTGGCAGCTGCCTGGCTTTCCTAAAGCATCAAATCTGATCAAGAGAATGTGAAAGGGAATTTAAAAATACAGTGGCCCAAGTAAAGCACTCTTGGCTACTTAGAGCATCTGAGAAGAAAGTGAAAGGGGCAACTTAGGCTTCTTAGTCTAACAATGAATGTTTTTGCCCCCAAAACCGTAAGCGTTCCTACAGGTCTTCTGACTGGATGCATCGCAATGACTGCTCCTTCATATCTAGCATCAAGCAAAGCTAAATTCATGCAATGCCCATTTACTGGCTGTGCTGGGCAAACAAACCATCTAATTCCCCTCCCCTCCATACCGTGCTTTTAGAACAGATGGTGAAGTGCCCTCTCTACCAT